TGTTATTGTTATGCGCCACTGAGTCACCTGCGACTCATAACAACCCTGTGTACAGTAGCTTTGAAGGCTGCCGTGTTCTGAGCCAGTCTCACTAATTCTGACACACCTACCCCCATTGCCCCAGTGAAGGTCATGGTCTGGATCAGGCACACCTTAATCTCTAGATTGACATTTTTGGTTCTCATTATTCTGGAGAGGTCCCTGACGGCAGATTTTCCCAGTGCAATTCATCTTTTGATTTTCCTGATTGCTGGTACCAAAAGTATTGATTGTGGAGCCAAGTAAGCTGTAATTAATTGTTAACAACTTCAGTCTCTTCTCCACCCATCATGGTGCTGACAGTTGGTCCAGTGGTGAGAATCTTTGTCTTCTTGATGTTGAGCTTCAATCCATATTGAAGACTATAGTCCTTGACATTTTGCAGCAAGTGTTTGAGGTTGTCTTAAGTTTCAGCCAGCAAGGTTATATCATCTGCATATCATAGGTTGTTAATGAGTCTTCCTCCAATCCTGATGCCACACTCCTCCTCAGAAAGCCCTGCTTCCCAAGTGACCTGTTCTGCATACAGATTGAAAAGATATGGGGACAGGATGCATCCCTTTCCTTATTTTGAACCATTCAGTGTTTCCTTGCTCCATTCTGAGGACTGCTTCTTGGTCCAAGTATAGGTTTCATATAAGTATGATCAAGTGTTCTGAGATTCCCATTTTCCTCAATGTCAAGAAGACAAAGATTCTTACCACTGGGCCAATTGGCAGCACCAAGATGGATGGAGAAGAGATTGAGGTTGTTAGCAATTACAGCTTACTCGGATCCACAATCAACACTCTTTAACACCAGCAGTCAGGAAATCAAAAGACAAATTGCATTGGGTAAATCTGCTGTCATAGACCTCTCCAGAGTGCTGAAGAGCAAAGACGTCAATCAAGATACAAAGTTGCACCTAATCCAGGCCATGGTCTTCTCAATTGTATGTCATGCTTCAGGGAGTTGGACAATGACTAAGGATGACAGAGAAGAATAGAAGCCTTCGCATTGAGGTGCTTGAGAAGAGTTTTGGACATACTATGAACTTCAAAGAAAATAAGTAGGTCTGTTTTGGAGAGGGTGAAAACAAATCTTTCCTTGGAAGCTAGGATTTTGAAGTTCTGCCTTGCTTACTTTGGGCACATGGCCAGGAGAGATTGGTCCTTGGAGAAGGACATCATGCTCAGAAGGGTGGACGGACTGTGCAGGAGAGAGAGACTGGGATGAGATGGATTGATACAATAATTGGGCCGATGAGGGTTGGTGTGTTGGAATTATTGAGACTGGCTCAGGACAGGAAAGGGTTCAGACATCGTAGGTGACTCAATGGCGCATAACAATAACATACTAAGACAGGTTTGGAAGCAGGAATGGCATCCACTTCCTAAACAGCATACCTCCAGAAACTCTATGAACTTTGATAAATATCGATAGTTGTAGAAAGGCTTCAGGCCTTTTGTTCATAGGGTCACTATGAGTTGTGCTCTACTTGATGGCAATCAAAAACAACAGCATTTAGAAATGTTACCTTTTCCTTTGTTCTAAAATAGTTTACCCCACTTTTGACATTGTTTATGACACTGACCCACCTTCCAGGAATGCCCTCCCATCACTCTACTTCCATGGTGGACTGGCATCTTCCTCCCAGGTCCTCTGGGAAGCTGTCTTGCTCCTTATCTCCAGAACACCTCCCCACATGCCTGTCTCATAGCACTTTGTTTCTTGGGTGCCAGTTAGCATGCTTTAGGGAATTCTGGATTTATTTTCCATTTTATTTATCTTTCTATTGTTTCACTGATAGCTCTTTCCAAATGTCTTTTCCTCTTCTTGGTCTGTACTAGGGTCACAAGCACTCTCCCAAGGTCCACCTGCTCTTCTCTGTGTATTTGAAGGTATGATGGCTGCGAATAAGCTGTGATGAACATGTGGTTAATAAGTTCCAATAAGTTGGCATTAGCTCATCCCAGCTGGTCTAGCACACTCTAATTAATGAGTGAATGGTTAGAGCATGAATAGACACGTGGAGACTGGCTGCATCTCAGGAAAAGGAAAAATACTCAAATCTAGACTAGGCTGTCACCAGAGGAGGAAATAGGGCAGAATGCAGGGAGTGGGAAGGTCTGCTTATTAATGAGGGAGTGATATGCACAGATACTGTTAACGTTTTACCTCAGTGTTGTTTATATTTTTACAATTGCTTTATTTTTATAATGCCAGGGGAAGAAATGACAGGATGAGAAGAAGAAAGGAATGAAAATTCGCTTTTGGACACAGCACACACACACCCCACCCCCACCCCGCTTTTTGCTGGTGGTACTTACACTCCAAGGCAGACAGAGCAAACCCAAGGCAGAGTCCTCTTTTCTATTTAATTTTAATGCCCTCATTTGAAACAACCCCTCCAATTCGAGAGAACACGCAGATTGCAATCAGTTCTAAAAAGTAAAACTCCTGAAAAGGCAACTATCGTGACCACCTAGAAATTAGCCAGATTCCTGATCTTTCTGTCCACGCTGGGAGAGGGGGCACAGTGGGCAAGAGACGAAGGTGGAGAAAAGGCAGCCATTCGTGTCCTAAGGGTGCCGTTCAGTGGCCATGTCCAGCCTTCAAGCTTCTGCTTTATTCACCCCTAATGACATCTTGGAAATGGATTGTGTCCACAGGAACATTTTTCCAGTCACAGTAATAGTTATATGAGCTCTAGCATTGCTTGAAGGGGCCCTGATGGTATAGAGTATTATGTGTTAGGCTGCTAACCTAAAGGTTAGAAGTTTGAATCCAGTGGGGCAAATCCACTAACAGCTCTGTGAGAGAAAGCTGGGCTCAGCCTTGTGAGTCAGAATCAACTCAGTGGCAGTGTTTTGTTTTTTGAAACATTGATGGAACTCCCTTATGTATATCCTGCATGGTGGCTTACAATGTCCCTCTACAAGGAGCCTTAGTCTTGTCTTTGCCATGGAGAAATGGAGGCCTAGAGATGTGAAGTGGCTTGTCCAAGGTCACAGTGGCAGAGTCAGAGTCCATCTCATCAGGATGAGACTGTGCTCGAAACTCTAAGGCAGGCATCACTGAACTCACTCCAGTGTGAATGGGCATTGGTATGACCACCTAATACAGTGAAGAGATTCTCATTACAATTGGGTGGTTTCTCATCCAGTTTTGCCCATGGACAAGCCTTGATGTCCATATCTGTAAGATGAGGATTGTGCTGGAGTTAGGTTTTGGGGGTGTAGAGAAGCTCCAGCACTCAGACACTCGAGAAAAGGGAGCCATCATGGCCATCAATATCATCGTCATCACTTGAACTGAGAAGCATTGCTTTCTCCTTTTTCTAACTACTCTTGGCGATGGTGACGGGGAGAGACCTGCTCAGAGTGGGGGAAGGAAAAGAGGAGCTTGTCAGCCCTGTGAGAAAGCTGGCCCTCCCCTTTCCATGTCCTCCTCCCTCGTCCTGCTCCATCCTTTGCAGACCTTCTGGCTCCCAGTGTTCCTCTTCTCCATTCTGATTCCCGCACAACAACCTGCAAGATCCTTCAAACATGTGGCCCAAGAGCACCTAACTTAGAAACTGCCCTATTTCCTCAGTAACAGCCCAGCCCCACCCTGGCCCTCTCTGCCTCCTCTCATCCAGCCCTCTTCCTTTCTCAGAACCCACTGACACAACTCTGCACACCTGTGCACACCTGGCTGCACACCTGTGTGGCTGCGCACCTGTGCGGTTGCTCCACTGGCCTCCCCTCACCTGCCTCCCCTCTTCTCCAAGGCCCTGCTCAGTTCCTCTGGGAAGCTTCTCAGAACCCCAGCTCTCACATGGGGTCAGGGGCCCTATGCTGCACCTTCCTCTACCTCACAGCACTTTGGCCCTTGGCTGACGGTACATGTTCGGGAACTTCAGCTGACCCATTGCTTTACAAATGTCTTTTCCTCATCTAGTTTGATTCCCAAGGACTAGCATAGGGTCCAGCACATTGAAGGTGATGGGCACATGTTCACAGCACAGACAACTGCCTCTCAGCAAAGGGAGAAACATTCTACTCATCACAATCAAGCACTATTCAAGGTGCTGCCAACAAAAGATTGGTTATTTGAAATCCACCCAGAAGCTCCGGTGGGAGAGAAGACTTGTGGTCTGTTCTCTTGAAGATGAGAGCCCAAAATCTACTGCCATCTGACCCACTGTGATAAGGCCGTAAATCTTAATAGGAAGACGCTCCCCTTCTTTCTCTTGAGGAGTGGTTGTTGGATTCAAACCACAGACCTTTTGTTTTATAGCCCAACATGTAATCCACCATACCATCAGGGCTCCTTCCTGAGAAGACTCCAGCCTAGGACAGAACTACTACGTCCCATAGGGAGCTCTGGTAGTCTAGTGGTAAGAAGCTGCACTGCAGTCCCAAAGGAACAAGGCTCAAATCTATCTGCTGCTCCTCAGGAGAAGGATGAGCCATCTCCTCCCTTGCAATTCACTGCCTCTGAAACCCAGCTGAAGGGTCACCTATGAGTCAGTTCTGACTTGACATAGCAACAAGTATGCCCCATGGGATCTCTATGACACAAAACAACAACAAAGGCAGCCTGCTGGTTGTCTCCTTGTCAGAGAGTATAAGCTGGAGCAATGCGGTGGGGGTCGGAAGGAGGGGGAGGTGGGTTCCATCAGTGGTTTGGGCCCCAAATTGTGGGTATATTAAGCTGGAATCACATGGGAAAGTTCCTTACTAGTACAGAAGCTCCAGCTGAGAGATTCTGGGGCTGACAGTCTGTGGCGGGGCAGACACTTGTATTTGAAACAACACCCCCTGGGGATTCTGATGCACAACCACTTTTGGAGACCACTGAATGTTGTGACTTTTCAAACCATTTGCAGCGAGGCTTTATGTGTGAAGACCTTTTCTAAATTGTGAAGTATTATCCACAAGACTGGTCTCCTGGTGTTACAGGAGCCCCAAGACTGGGAGTTACAGATTCAGGCTGGGCTACAGCTCCTCAGACTCCGGGAGGTGGCGGACCCAGCCCTGGGCCACTCTGTTGAAGCTGGGTCGGCGACGGAGGAGTTCCAAGCCACTGAGGGGCTCCAGAGCAAAGGGTGTGGCTGCCCTGGGGATGATCTCCCCAAAAAGGGGTCCTCCAAATGGCACCGGTGTCCTGGGGAAAGAAGAGAAACAGGAAAGGGGGGCTTTATGGGGAAATGATGACAGAGCTGAGACATGCAGCTTACTGCATGCAGCCCCCCTCCCTGCTTCTCCCTGGGCCTCAGTTTCCCCTTCTATCCAGCATATATTTGTCTTGCCTTTGATAAGATTCTCTCATACTGCTTATTCCCAAAACTACCACAGGAGAAGAGGGTTAATGCTTAGGAAATGCTGATGTCTCAGCATTAGCACTGCCTTGTCCTCGGCTTAACTCCAGGTTCTCAGAAGGAGTAAGGGTGGAAGTAGAGTTTTTCCTTCCATTCACCATCTCTCCTTGGAACACTATGTAGACCCGTGAGTGGGGGAGAGGGTAGGAGGTGGTAACGGACACTGAGAATCAGGGAAATGACAATTACAGCACACATGTACTGTTTTTCATCCAAGATAATGGCAAAATGAAGTAATTTGATGATAGGGCAAAGTTGGTGATATGATGAGGACAAGATTTTACTTATGTGTGTCTAATTAGAGATGAATTAATGCTTCTACCTTAGAGGTATAGAGCACTGTGGTGGCTTAGTGGTAAGGAACTGTACTGCCAACATAAAAGTATGCTGTGAGAACCCCCCAGCTTGCTCCATGAGAGAAAGATGGGCAGTCTCCTTCTGTGCAATTAATTGCCTCCGAAAAACTTGCTGGGGGGTCAGCCATAGGTTGGTTCTGACTCAATGGTATACAGTAAAAATGGCAACAACCTTAGAGGGGGAAGGAATAAGAAAAGAATTAATGCCCTTAATTGTGGTGTTAGTGAAAAGTACTGAATACACTATAGACGTCCAAAGGTGTGCCTGGTTCAGACCATGGTCTTTTCAATCACTTGCTATGCATCTGAGAGCTGGACAGTGAATAAGGACGACAGAAGAAAAACTGCTGTCTTTTAACTATGGTGTTGGTGAAGAGTACTGAATATTTCATGGACTGTCAAAAGAACAGAGGGGGAATTAATCATGGAGCTGTACAATTTGATGGATGGGGATGTGTGAGGGAAATTGGAAGAATCTGTAAAATAAAAAAAGAAATACAAAAAAGTAAACTTTTTAAAAAAAACTTTTATGTTTAAAAGTTCTTTTTTAAAAAGAACACAGAGAGATCTTTTGGAGAAAATGCGCTCAGAGTGCTCCTTGGAGGCAAGGATGGATGACAAATCTTTGTCTCACGTACTTTGGGGCATGTTGCTAGGAGAGACTATTTCTTGGAAAGGGACACCATACTTGGAAAGGTGAGGGGTCAGTGAGAGAAATAAAGACCCCCAGTGAGATGAATTGACACAGTGACTTCAGCTATGGGCTCCTCTAGTGTGTCAGACATGATGAGGATGGCACAGGACAGGACAGAGTTCAGATCTGTGTCTCATAGTTGTACTTAACTCAAGTGGCCAAAAGAACAAACAAATCTATCTTGGAGGAAGTACACCCAGAGAACTTCTGAGCATTGCATTGTGGCTGCTTCCCACTAGGCCGTGAGAGCTCCTAGAACACTTTTTTAGAAGTACGGACGATGAGACCGCTTCTCATACTTCAGGCATGTTGTAAGGAAGGGCCAGTCCCTGGAAAAGGACACTGTGCTTGGAAAAGTGCAGAGTCAATCAAAGAAAGGAAGACCCTCAACAAGATGATTGATGCAGTGATCACAAGAGTAACTTAAGTACAGCAGAGGTGTGAGGAGTGAGGGCCGGGCAGGGTTTCACTCAGTCATCCATGGGCTTGCTGTGACTCTGGGCTGACTTGACAGTGCCTAATGCCAAGATGAGGGAGGGAGAAGTGATTCAGTGCTGGAACCTTCTATGTGCATATCCTTCTATGCAGGAGACCAGCATTCCATTTCTGGCCAAAGTACCAGAAACACGGAGCTTGCATGCTTCTACAATGATAAACAGGTTTAAGTGGAGCATTTAGACTAAGATTAAGGAGGAAGAAAGGCCTGATAATGTCCTTCCAAAACCCAACCAGTGAGAACCTAGGACAGCAATCTTGCTGCAAGTGGGACCACCATGAGCTGAGGGCCAGCTCAGCTGTAGCTGATAACAACCACCTTGACAGGATCTTGTTTGCCAGAAAACGTGTGAATCCTGTCACCTCCAGGCACAATGCATGTGCACGTGTGCACAAGGGGACGGGTCTGAGCTCTGTCTTGGAATAACAAGGAACAACCTGGGTCCATTAGCAGATGAATAAACAAGACAAATGCAGAAAAGTTACATGGCAGAGCACTACACACAATTTAAAATGCGTGCACAGACCTATGCATACCGAGTAGGGTCGATTTCATCAGAATGATGCTGAATGAAAAAAGCAACTTAATGAAAGAAACAGTATTGAAAAACCATACATGCATAGACATTCAGTTATGCCTCTTACAGAGATATGTAGCCATCCATTAAAAAAGTTCTGGAGACAAGCACACCAATCTGACAACAGGTTTTTAACCTGGGGAGAGAACTGAGGGTAGAAGACATTGGAAAAAAGAGAGGCCTAACTTTATCTGTAATTGTCTTTTCTTTAAAAAAAAAAATTCTTATGTGATTTAAAAACATTTTTTTCATTTATTTTTT